GTTTCTCCTTTACTTTCCACTTTTTAGCTTTGCCACCCATCCCATCTCCTCAATCAGTCCCTGACTTCTCATCTCCTCCATATCCTCCTCCTCCTCCGCAGCCAAGGCAACAACACAAACACTCCCTCTTACTCCGTTACTACCACATCCGCTTGCTTCCTCCATCTATCCATGCTAACTGAGAATCACTCTCTCTTTTCCACTCTTACTACTTACATGTCACCTCCATGTTTCCAGGTGCAGTGTGATACTCTCCACAATGAAATCGTGTGCTTCTGCCAGAGATGAGTTATTAATCGCCCCGACGGAAGACAGGAATGGATGGAGGGATGGATGGAGGAGGCAGATGGCTCCTTGGAGGAGCTGATTGTGGCCAGTCAGCTTTAGCGTTAGCCACAATAAGGGAAGGCTCGTCTGTCAACACAGCTGGTTTGCCTCCTCCTTTTGCTTTCTCTCTTCTTCCTGTCTTGCCTTTGTGTTCCTTCCCGATTCCTGTGTGATTCTCTCTTTTAGTACATTCCCTTAAAAAACAAAGCCACCAACAAAAAACCTCTACCCTTCCTCTTCTTTTTACTCCCCTCTACTATGATATATGTGTAAGCCTCTCTATCCTTCCTCCCTCCCTCTGTGACTCTAAGAGCATCAGCCAGGCTGCCCTGCTTCGCTTATGTTGATCTCTGGGCTTTTGCCCTGATTGGATACACGCCACTATCACAGGCGCCAATGGGGGGGCAGCAAGTGGATCACATGATTAGTGTGTGTGTATGTGTGTGGAGGGAGAGGTTGTGGGGAGGGAGGGATGAGAGAAGAAGGAGGAGGTGTACCTTGAGTGGCTGCAAGCTGCTACATCAATGAGGGCTTTTTTTTTTCTATCCCCCCCCCCCCCCGAGCAGAGAGATGGAGTCTCTCTTCTCCAGTTAGGGAGATGGAGGAGGAGGAGAAGCTCTCAGCACAGACATTTGGAAGAAGAGACGAGACAGTCTGTGATAGACATTCAAAAACACATAAACACAGACGTGTACACATGCAGTGGAGAAGTGGCTCCATCTTACAGAAACAGAGCACGAGTAGTGCAGCGCAGCAGCAGCAGCAGCAACAGCGGTAATTGGACAAGGGTTGCTATGGAAACAGGGGAAACGGTTGCCTGACGGACGTAGATGTGCCCTGGGAGCATCAGACTTGGCTCCATTAAACACACAGAAATACACAGCATACACACACATACACAACATTTTTTTTTTTTTATATATATATAGAATGAAAACAAGACAGAATGTATAGTAGCCTCATGATGTGTGTTTGTGTGTGTGCTTAAGCACCACATTGTTTTCCAGCCTTATTTATATGTCTGTGTCTTTGTCTTAAATGAGCATGAATGCATATCTCAGCCTGTGTCGCCTGTGTGTGTGTGTGTGTGTGTGTGTGTGTGTGTGTGTGTGTGTGTGTGTGTGTGTGTGTGTGTGTGTGTGTGTGTAAGGAAGATGCTCAGTCAGCCATGAAAATCCGGCAACAGAGAGAAGAGCTGTGGGCATTTAAGAAACACTCACACACTCACAGACAGCAGCGCCGTGCACACCTCCAACACTGATAACACCTGAACAAGGTGTTTTAGTATTCCACACCTCAGAAAGCTCTGCGCCGTCAGTGTCTGGCAGCAACTGTGGGAGCTGCAGGGAAATGTAGACCTACAGTAGACCGAGCGTTTTGAAGTGGACGCCCTCTGAATTATCCTTGACACAGCTTATAATCCTTCCACACACCCTGGAGAGGATAGATCCTCACATACTGAATGAGGAGCTGAATGGCAGTGGGAGAGCATTTACTGATAACAGTTACACACTATAGTCCTTTTAGAAAACAGAATATTACTCAGATTACGTTCCCTCAATGTTGGCACACAAAGGGATCTTTTGTTAGTATTTTCCACTGAGGAGTTATTCATTCTTCATAAAATAAACTGACTGGGACACCAATCATTAAGACCAATTGCCTTAGCTAATGGCTAATTTAAAAACATTTAAATTAAGTTAAATATAACTTTTCCAAGTTAAATCCAATCTTACTGGGTAATCTGTTTAGTTATCTCTTGTTTTTATGTGTTATCATGAACTTTGGCGGATACAAGCGTTCTATCAAATCCTACAAACAGGCTTAAACTGTCAAACATCAGGTGTTGGGATTTCTGTCTGACAGGGTTTTTTCTAATGTATAAAAAACTGTAAAACTGCTTTACAGATTAAATCAAATCCCTTTCCTTAACAGTACCACACATATTCCTTTCCAGATATATACTAAGTGACGGAAGAGAAGTCAAAGTCCCCTTTATAAAGCTCAGACTTAAAATGTTGACTTTAGTGATCTGTAATTTACTTTCTAGCCTGTTTTAATCTAAATCACCATCCTGACCCTGATAAACCCCTTTAACCTGCATCCAATCGTCTTTCCTTACTCTTGCTAGTTTTACATAGTTTTTATTTGCTCATACTAAAGCTCAGGATTTAGTGGGATTTATACTGAGCTTCCCAATGTGTATTTTTGGGACATCTTCCTACTGTTTATTTCTTGCCAAAATGAGTCAAGGACAATTTCAGTTACAGATAAACAACACATTTTGTTGTTGGTGGTGGAATTGACCCTTTGTACGCTCTCTGATTGGTCCGCTGACCCAGTAATCAGAGAGCCCTATCTGATAGCAACCATCGCTGGGCTACAGTTAGACAAACTTTAGCTTGGGCAAAATCTAATAAGTGAGTGTCTTTAAGAGTGACACATTCATGAAACCAGGAGTAAAATCATGCTCCAAAGTTTTACCCACCACCAAAAGATGTAATATTGAGCAGTACATATGAGAACACAGATGCTGATGAGGACTTCAATAGACTGTAGGTGGATTTGACATTTATTATTCAACAAAACTTTAGAGGATGGGTAGATTTTTCCCCCCCGTCGTGACTACAATCTGTTGTGATTCATCATCAGTCTCCTGCAGCAAATTAAACTGCAGTACCAAGTCTCAAAACAACAACAACAACATCAAAAGATGCATTTTTTTTTTTTTTTTTTTTTTACATTATTCAGTTATCTCCTTGTTAAAATTGAGAGCTGGACTTTATTTGCAACATTGCATCCGAGCTCTCGCTGCAGTTTGTCCTGACAGACTGGCTTATGAAACTCACACTGCTGCCTTCCATCATTCATGTTTTAGCAAAACAACATCAGCCGATGCAACTATAACATCACTTTGTTTATGCACACTGACCATCACTCCGTTCAAAAACTAAAATTACAACATGACTGACAAGATCTGAACCATGATATGAATGTGTAAACTTAGCTGCTACGTGGTCTGTGTTATTGATTGCCTGTATGTATGGAATCCGTTCACGGTTTCATTTGATGCCTAATTGAATGCACAACATATAATATCTGTCATAAACACCTATTTACTATCAGCGTCTGGCAGCGCACACTCGCACACACATATTTCCTGTGTGAGCCGACTGAGCCGCAGCCAGCCAACAGGAAGTTTTTCATCCTCTCCCAGACTGCAATGAGCTCCAAATGAAGATGTAGTAGCTGAATCAGGATCTCAGCCAATGCATGCAGCTTATCTTTCATATCGGGGGGGGGGGGGGGATGCGGACACTGAAAAGCCCCCCAGATGTGTATGTAGATCTCTTTCTCTCTTAATCTGCATCCAAAAAAGGAAACGCCTTTAACGCCTCATGTTCAGTATATTTTTATAGGATCTGATGTTGGCATGGGAATCTTGGCAATGCCATTCTAGTATCTATTATAATTTGAGATGTGATTAACACAGTTAGGAGTGAGTTGCGTAACTATGCGTTCTGCCAGTGTCTGCAACAGAAAGTCATCAAAGCATGGTACAAAGCACAGCGCAAATCCTACTGTGTGCAAACATTTTCTTTGAAGTTCACTTAAAAAAAAAAAAAAAAAAGACTTTTTAAAGGATTACCAATTACGGATTAGCATAGCTCTGAACAAGACTTCATATGAATGTCCATAAGGGAAACCAAAATCCACTCCAACTGAAAGTTCCTCACAACTGCTTCAGACCAAATATTCCAAGTTTAACATTCACAGTTATTTGGGGAATTATTAAGTAGGGACAAAATCCATAATTATCTTCAAATGCTCAAAGTGAACATCATAAACTTTGTCAGAACAGTGAATCCTCATCCTGCTCTCAGGGGCTTTTACTGATTTTTCAAGCAATTAAAAAGCTTTGTTGATCAGATTATTCTAAACAACTGGGCCCTGGAGTCAGCCTCCCCACTAAATAATATATCTTATTTTGTTTTATAAACCCAAAGCAAATGTTATAGATCTGACATCCATTACACCACATCTGACAATTGCCGAATTCATGATTTGATCCTCATTTGATTGCATGTATCTTTATCTATATTGTCTTTATTAAACGAACAAACATGTTTTAAAAAAGAAATGATTATTTCTATTGTATTATTTAAAATCATCTAAGAGATGATATCAGATTTTGCATTTCAAAAGAAATTCATGCCACCTATTTCTACCATGTGGCAACTTCCCGAGTTCAGTTTAAAAAAAAAGTTTTTTATTTTAATTAGTCAAAGAGCTGTGTCCCAAATAAACAGCAAATTATAAAAAATACACTACTGAGAAGCAAAGTGGCCTTGTAAAAAATGAATGTTATATAAAGGTTCCCGGAGCTGTCTCATCAGTATCTACAATGTGTTTGAACTTTCTCCAGCTGTGGGGAGCCTGTCAACAGCAAACTCAAAGGTCTAATGAATCAAGTATGAGATCTGGCATCAAGTGTTCTTAATGTTGTCTCTTTTCCAGTGAGAATGCACTAAAAACTCAGTACCTACTTATTAAAAGTTTTAAAAACCTAATTATTATTATATAACACATAGAAGTGTAGAAATGGGAGACTTTTTAAAATACATGTCAATGTTTCATCTCCCATAAAACACAACACTTGAAGTGTAGCCTACCTTGTTGAAGTCTTCACTTGTGGCTCTCATCTCCTTCCAGGTTTTGTTGAGCAGCTGGATGCAGATGCAGAAGAATTCCTCAAAGGAGCGATCGTGAGTGAAGAACATGGGGTGGAAGTCGTGACAGTTTTCACTGGCTGTGGACAGAAAAGAGAGAGAACAGATGTTAGCGGCCGTAGTAAAAACGAGAGTCAAACAACCCTGTTAGCGAGGGTCAGAAAACCACTGCATGTGGATATAAGACAAATGAATGTACATCACAGTCACACTTCATGATATTTATCACTATTCTGAAATAATAAATAGATCAGTCTATGAGTGCTGATATAGACATCAACGGGGACGACCACTGAGCATGAGAAACAGTTCTCCTTTATGAAGCAAGACTGTTATTGAAAATTTAGCTCCCATTAACTTCAAACACAAAACATCCCCTGGAGACAAATTGTGACCAACAAACTTCTGTTCCAACTGAATTAAGTAAAGATTGTTTCATTTTCCAAAGCCAGAGGGGGGTTTATATTCTTTATTAGCTGTGCACTGAAACTTCTCAAACCCCACTTTTTGGTTGAGAGTGTGTTTGAAATAAGAAGGAGAGGGAAGAGGGGGAGCCAGGGCTCTTGAGTGCCCAAACCATATTAACCAAGAGGTAGAATAACAAGGCTTGACATTAATTCCAACTACATTCGTCTCCCTCTTGTCGTCTTGCTGAGATGAGTGGTGGCTTTGAGCCAAAGGTTGGTTCATTTAGAGACTTTCCGAGCAGAGCAGCCGGGAAACTGGCCCACCGCGAGCAGCCATGAAAATGGATGGAAGGGGTCAGGCAGCGAATGAAACTTCACGGTATAATGAGTAATGCCTACAGGCCACAGGCACAGCGACCTGAGCCTTGATGTGGAGCGATGGATGGGAGATTAAGGGGAGGGCGCGGTGGAGCAATCCAGGAGGGACATGCTTCTGGTGCTGTTAGTCAAACAGCGAGCTAATGGAGGAGAGCCAAAACAGATGCTAACTGGCTGCTTAGCTGACAGTTCTGACCCCCCCAGGGACAGAAAGAAAACCAGGGAAGAACCCAAAAATAAAGGGTCAAAATAACTCAACCTAATACTTGATTGGCTATCCACTAAAAGTTGTTAGAGAGGCTGATGTTTGGAGTGACCTTTGAGGTAAACAGGTTGTTTATCAGTGGGACCAACAGATCCTGAGGTGCCAAGAGGAGAGGAATTACATGTCAAGGCTTATTTCAGCGACAGTCTCAGGTGGCGCTGCAGATATGTCTCCATCCTGAGGTTTTGTAAGGCGTGCTGAGTTGCAGACAGTTTTATTACCTCTCGCAGGGCTAGGCAGGACCTGAAGCAGCACAGCAATGAGGCAAAAACAAATCATTATAGTGTTGGGATGCCTAGAATAGTTCACAAACAATGTTCTGCAGTGTAATCGTCTGATTGCAAATATACTATAATGACTTCAGAGTGCCAGTCACTGAATATTTAATCGAGCACACATTCGTCCAAACTGAGGAAATAATTGAAGAGGGGTGATCTTTTTTTGCAACTGCTCTGCCGACTTCTGGGAGAAACACAGCAGTATGGACGTAACACTTGAATCACTGAGGGAAATCTAAATATAGTATTGAACCTACAGAGCAGCCTGTACTAAGACAGCGTTTTACAAGGTTTTCACTCTGTCTGACTGTACAGTTTGAGCAGAGGCTTAATCTGTGTGGAAGAGAGAAAGGAAAAAGCAACATTTCACCTCCTTTTTTTAACATGCTAGCTGAAATGTCACGGCTGAATCAGCACGCCACAAATGCATTTAAAATTATCCACCTGATCGGAAAAGGCACTGTGTGAGTGCAAAGTCATGTTACTGTGATTAGGGAACTTTGCTCTAAGCCTTTATAGCTAAAGCCGGCCTTGTTTTCTATTCTTTTCCTTTTAACCAGAATGATGCTTCAACAGAACTGGAGCCACAAAGATGAAACAGAATGTCGGCTTACACAGAAACAGTCTAAGTGACTGGGCTGAGCTGTACTGGAAGTCTTTGTTGAAGAAAAGGAAGAAACACCAGGCCCCTAGTTTGTTATGCTCAGTGTTTTACCTTCATCTGATGCATTATAGTGCATGTGTGTAAAACTGACAACAGGCAATCCAAAGGAATCTGCTTTTCACACCACAAACTGACATCATTCTTTCTCTGAACACATCAGTCTACCTTATAACAATGTGTTCCTATGTGAGGACCAGTGTTGGGACAGTGTTGGGACTAACACGTTACTGTAACACCACAACTATTTGCAGTAACTAGTATCTTATGACTTACTTTCTAGATTCAATAATACAGTTACTGACATTTACAAGCACTCGTTATTCATTACTACAACAAGAGTGCGAGGTTACACTAACGTCGGCACAGTAGCATCTAAACTCTACTAGATTCATAAACTTCCAGACAAATTGTTTTTAAAACAGTGTCGGTCTATTTGCTGGATTGAGAGCTTTGTAGAAAATTATTGTTTGTGGTGTCAGGATGAGAAATGAGTGAATCAGGGATGGATGTTTTTTAAATATTCTGTGTGTCAGTCAATCAAAAAAGCTCTTCTGTAAAAGTAAGGATTAGGAGGTGATCTGAGAAGTTCATTCTGGCAGCACTTTCTTCAGCTCGTTCCTAACTACAGTTGACAATTTAAATTCTCTTTTTTATACCTGAAGACAAATCGAAATTAAAAATCTACATCCTGCCATAACCTTTGTCTCTTAGGTAATTCATAAACCTGAGTCTGAGCACTTCTGAACCACAAAGAAGAACTGGACTATTTCACTGGTTGAAACAGGTCATGTAAACCTCTTATTTTTCTCTTCCTTGTATAGAGACACAGTCCTCTCCTCAACAGGCAGCTGACATGGTCACGGTGATGGGGTGGGCTACTGGACCTATTAAGGGCCCGAGGAGAAGGACACTTTTTCGATGCATGAGTCATAGACACACACCCACACACACACACACACACACACACACACACAGACACACACACACAGACACACAGACACACACACACACACACACACACAAGCCTGAAGCTGATTGTCACGCCAGGAAACAGCGGGGTAGATATGAACTCTCTCTCAATTTTAAGTGACAATTTATGACTTTTTTTGGTGGAGCATATGGGCCCTCAGCAGACTATTTAGATGGATGGAAAATAGGCGATAATGAGTTTTCTTTGTCCTGTATGCTTTACATCCATCTGCACAGCCAGATGTTCGGTGCCTGCACCACCCATAAAGCAGGTAACAGGACACTGTGATGACCACTTTAGGTGATGATAGAACATATGCCCACATGGATGTGCAGAACTTGATGCTTTATGGCTACGCTGTATTATTTAGTGGCCATATGTCTCGACAAAATTATGAAAAATAGATGGTGTTATGCATTTGTTGTGGCACTTAGTAGCAAGAACTTCTCAACAAATTCCCTAAAGATATGTTGTATCATAACTTTTTCAAAACTGGGAGAAAGCTACAAACACCATATATTTACGCAGCTGTCATTTTCCTTTGAAGTTAGGATGGGAAAGCTTAACTGTTGCTTAGCTTAGCTTAACATCTAAAATGTTGTGTAGCTCCTGTTAAACAAGATGAATCAGTTGTATAGGCGTTAACATTAAGGTGAAAATGCCAATCATGTAGACATTTTGCAACACATTTGATGACACTTAAGCAATTCTTTTCACAGAGTGAGGTAACATTACTCTTGGAAATGTACAATATTTGTGACTTGTTATTAGGATGCAGGAGGCTGAAGGTTTTCCGCCTCATGTGCTTTTGATTACCGGTATGAAGTAAATGCATCATAAGCTCTGAATGCAGAGTGGAGTTTCAAGTCATTGGTTACAGACCGAATTAGAGGAAAAACACAAATCAAAAACTGCAGAGAGATCTTTCTTCTCTCAGTTTTTTTTTATCTGTCAGTTTATCTCCTGTGACGTTTGAGGCAGGGCTGAGGTCAAGGGGTCACTGTCCTCTCCGTGCAGTGAATGTGCGCTTTTGGTTTATGAGTGTGTGTGAATTCAAGCATGAGTCAGTGTGGGCCAGCTGTTGCCTGTCACGCTTTTACCAGAGTTCATTCAACGTGAGGGCTTAGAGGCAGCGTGTGACGTCAAATAAGAGCTAATTACTAAACTGGACAAACACTGATGAAGCCAGAGAGAGGAGGCTAAATATGTTTGATAAAATAGTGTGTGTGTGAGAGAGAGAGAAAAAAAAAAGGAAGCGAGAGATGAGGGTTGAATGCCAACATGACATCTGTCAGGGCTGTGTGTGTTTTCTTGTTGCGTATGTGTGTCCATGAGTGTGCACAAAGTTAAGTGAAATGACCCAGAGAGTCACCTTGCAGCTTCACCACACGATGGCTGCACAGTGAAAAAGTGTCATCCTCACTCTAATTAGAATAACAGCATGCCCTGATGTCCAACTGTGACAAGGGGAGTGTGTGTTTGTGTGCGTCAGTGTGTGTGTCCGGCGAGCAGCGTTAGCACCATCTTTCTGGTCCAGACACAGATTGCGTGTGCAGGATGCAAAGACAGCCGGTTCACGGACATGCAAATACGGCGGGTGGATGACTTAGCAGGCTGACTGAGAGCTTCTCATGCTATGGCAATCAGCTCAGCATCAATGTACAAATACTGAAATATCTTTACAACATTTATAGTCAACTATTAAATATTCAAGTTTATAAAATAAATTATTTGTATAATCATATGTTGAGTATTCATCTTTTGAAATGAGACAGAAATGTGCTGCGTTAGCCTCTGTGGCAAAGTGTGGCAAATAACAAAAACTGTATAAAACATGGATGTAGTCAGAAGAGGCATTATGAAGCCTAACGACAGCGGCTGCCATATTGGATTCAGGAATCAAATTGGTGGAGTTAAGACTTGAAGCCTCCTGGCAAAAAGCTACATCGCCCCCCACCTGTCAGTCATCTTCATCAGTTTTATCATTACAGAGATCAGCTATTTCAGCTTTTCAGACCAAAACTGTTTTGGTGCCCGACTGTACAATTTTTTAAATTCTGCTGTAAAGATTAATGTTTTATCATGAGTACTAATGGGGATTGCTTTGCTTTTGCTGCC